GAACAAAAAATAACCTTAGCAGATATTATGAGAAAACTATTGAAGATGGAAGAAAGGATGGTTGATATGGAAAAAAATTTAATCCAGTTTTTGAAAAGTTAAAACAACAAGTAGTTATATTAATAAAAAATTGGAAACAGAGTTGCAGCATATTAAACACGAACTTGACAGAAGAGAGCAGAAAGAGTTGGCAAACAACATCATTATTTAACGTTCTTCTTCTTTTCGATATTTGACAAAATGGTCATAAGTTTTCCAGTAGCGTGCCATATAGGGAAAAGGGCATTCAGCTAACGACACCGTTGATGATGTAGGTATAACGGTGCAACACCAAACACCGTAAGCCTAGTTCTCATGGAGCGGAAAATCGCGTTGCGGGTGCGGAATATCGCTTTTCGTTCAAGACATAGATAGGTATTTAATTTTTGCCGATTCACATGAAGCGAGATTCCGCAAGCGGATTTTTAGTTACATTTAGGGTACTTATCTCTCATTATATTTTAGTGATTTTTATCAAATGTCGTCCCTTACATCTCACAGGTGACACTGGTGACACTAAAAAGTGATGGAGGATAAAAACTCGCGCAAGTTAAAGATAATTTCCCAAGTCAAAAATTTAATAACTATGTTGGCAACACAACCCTTTTCTACATAAATATTTTGAAAGCATTGACAATTTTACATTGTATTGCCAACATAATGTCATTTTGACTTTTATCTTTAAAAAAAACGCACTTTAACTATGTGGGCAACACAAGCCTTTTCTACATAAAAAAAATCAAAGATTGACAATTTTACATTGTATTGCCAACATAATGTCATTTTGACTTTTAACTTTAAAAAAAAAAACAGATTTTAACTTTTTTGCGATTTGGCAAAAAATTGACATTTTCCCGCTGCGGGACAAATTTTAAAAATTCCGCGTCCGCCACGCGATTTAAATTGTAGTTGCTGATTGACATTTGCAATCGCGTTGTCATCGCTGGATTAATTGACGTGCCTCGCAGAAATAGAAAAAGAGAGCTTAATTGTGATAAATACAAGTGGGAAAGTAATAAAAGATAACAAGCGCGCGCAACTCGTGGATGCAGTATAGTCAGATTGTATTGTTGCAGAACAAATGTAGACAATATGAATCGAACATTATAACCAGTGTTGCCAACTTGGTAAAATAATTACCAGATCTGGTAATATCGACCCCGGTTTTAGCAATGAAGATTTTCAAAATATATCTAGTAATATTTCTGGTAATTTGACACTTCATTCCAGCAAAATTCTGGTATTTTCGCATTAGCAATCAATAATCCATTTTTCTTGAATTTATGGCCGTTTGCACCGTCCATTTTGAGGGAGGTTTATCATTTAACGATAATGAACGCTTAAAAGTGACATTTTCACCTGTTAGAGTTTGACATTGGACATTTGAATGTGAAACCAATAGGAAAGAAATCCGCAAAAAAATCGCTATTTCGCGTCTATGGAGACTAGTCTAAAATAGTTATACCAAAAATTACTAATAAGTATACCTATTAGGGCCCGTTTATTTACTTTCTGATTTCTAACTGTCAGGTATGCAATCTGACCCACATAAAATCGAAATTTGTTATCCCATTGGTTGGCCAGTTATCCGCCGACCAATAGAATTATAGAATGGTGCACTTATCTTGCAGATGGTTACCAAGGAGCTTATCTGAAGATGAACAAACCGGGCCTAAGTATGTTTACCAATATCTGTAATGTTATGTTATACAGAATGGATTTTTTTTTACAATAATGTACCTATTTGCTTATAGGTATCCTGTGCATACCATACATTAGGTATGCAGTGTAATTTTATCTGAATGTTGTTCTTATTGCATTTTTATTTTAAACCTAACGGAAAAAAAAAAAAAAAAACTTAAAATAAATAATTGAAATCTAAAAATTTTAGCACAACTTTTGTTTAGCAACAAAAGACCTCGTAATATTCTGGTATTAGCAGGATTGAGAAAAATCTAGTAATATTCTGGTATTCCAACTTTTATAATCTGGTAAAATGGCCATTCATATAGTTGGCAACACTGATTATAACATTAAAGAAGTGAAATAGTTTCAAGTATTTTACAACGCCTTGAATCAGACAAAAGAAAAGCTTTAAAGTGTATGTTAACATCGTTTGTCCTTTTATTTTGATAAATGTTTCATCCTACAACATCGCACAATGAAATTGCAAAGGAATATGTCAAGCATAATCTAACATAACCTTAAACGACACTGCGGTGAGTTCAAGTAATATATAAAGTATTAGTTTGATCTTTGTCGAATTACACGTTGCAAAGAAAGGGGGAACGATCACTTCTGAACTCATCCCTGAATAGAAATAAAGAAATATGACGCAAGCCCGTAACAAACTTCACTTTCTTACCTGCTTGCAACAGGCTGCGCGCGCCGATTCTGACCTATCTTTTTCTACCTTGACTGTGTGCGCAACTCGTGGGTTGTAGGTGATCATCCAATGAGAAGCGAGTTTGTTACGGGCTTGCGTCATATTCTTATTCAGAATTAATCGTTCCTTCTTTCTGTGAAACGTGTAATTCAACAAAGAGCAAACTGATACTTTACGTATTACTTCTGAACTGAACCAGTGGCGCAGCCAAAAATTTTGTCTGGGGAGGGGGGCCATGCAAAATAATTATAAGAAAAAACACAGATCCACTTTCCTTTAAACTTTTTCTCTGATATGAGCAGTTTTTAGCTTTCGTCTACTTCATTATTTTTCCTGTTTTCTCTGAAGCCTCCCCCCCTGGCTGCGCCACAGTTCTGAACTCACTGCAGTGTTGTTCAAAAAGTTAGATTATACTTGACATATTCCTTTGCACTTTCATTGTGCGATGTTGTCGGATAAAACATTTATCAAAAAAAAAGTGCAAACGATGTTAACTACACTTTAAAACTCTTCTCTCGTCTGATTTAAAGCGTTGTAAAAAAATCACTTTTTTTGGTATAATGTTCGATTTTTATTAGGTCGGTTTCTGCAGAGGTCACAAACCAGTCGGAGCGAATTTCATTGGTTGAAAACAGTCAGAAAACTAGTTTCAACCAAGGAAATTCACTCTGACTGGTTTGTCCCACTAGTTGCGCGCGCATATCATCTTTTATTACTTTCCAACTTGTATTTATTACAATTAAGCTCTCTTTTTCTATTTATGCGAGAGAGGTCAATTAATGCAGTGATATGTGCTATACAGGCGCCATTTTTGACAGGACAGGTCCTTGGATTGGAAAATAGAGGTTTGGTGAAGCGTGCGTTTTTTCTCACCGATGCGCTCATCGCTCATCGATTAAGCGAAAATGTCAATTGACTGTTTTCATTGTCATGAAGAAATGAATTTTAACGTAAAATGTAACCTCAAAATTATGTTGACGGCTGTTGATGGCCGACGGAAATCGTAATAATTGTATCCTTTTGTTTTGCATTTGTATTTGTTATGTGAAGATTTGCGACGAAGTTAACAAAAAAAGGAAAAATGGCATGTTCAAGTGATCTGAAGGGTATGAAAACTCGGACTATGAACTACAACTGAAGTGGCGCAGCCAAAAATTTGGAAGTTTAACGCTGTTTTTGTCATAAAAATTTTGATTGGAGTATTGGAGTAAGCTGAAGGTCTTCGGTCTTCTAATATATACAGTCTATAGAGAGATAAATATACCACTGATTACTAAAACAGTTTTTAAATGAAGAAATACCAAACCTAAAAGCTCTGAGCATGAGAGCGCCAAATTAACTTTTTGAGAAATATATCTAAAATATCAAATCAAACTAATTTATGAGTTCTTAAAGCTCAGCTCATTCTCTCAGGGTTTCCTTTTAATGTCTCACCTCACTCTCCACTACAAGTAAGTCTAAAACGAGACAATCCAAATCCCTATACAGAGGAACTACGGAACGGAAGAAATATAATTTTGTATTTTTTTATGTTTTTTTTTTTTTGTTTTCTGCAATTCAAGTAGGTAAAACTATTTAATCTGAGAAACTTTCAGACACTCATCGCTTGATGATGATGAATAGCTCACAAATCACAATTCTTTTAACTTACACTAGACCTGCAATCATGGTATGGTTAGGGTTTCTTAAACAAATAAAAAATAACATTAGGTTCGTTTCACCAGGGTTCATACTTGAGCTTGAAACTTGTTCGAACGCACCCCTAGCGAAACAAACTTTACACAGTTTGCCAAACCAAAATAAACAACACATTTTTAATGTCAATAGTATCAATTCAAGTGTCAAAATCCATCGAAGTGTTTTTTGGTTGATTCATTTCATGAACAAAATTGCGATGAATTTTGATGACGTACTGCTCATCGGCGCTCATCGGTGATGGAATTCATGAAAACTCGATGAGAATAAAAACGCACGTGAATTCTGGCCTGGTACAAGGTTGTTTGAGAGACGCAGGTGGCTTGATAACTTTTATGACGTCATCTGTATGCCTAAGGGCCGAATTTATAGTCGGTCCTTGAGGTTTCCTTGGACCTTAAGGAAGCCTTGAACGTTTAGAATTGACATGACTAACTTGTCAAATAGTACCAAGTGTCCATTCTGAACTCACGACCTTTAAGGTTAAGGCAGACTCAAGGAATGACTATAAATTCGGCCCTAAATCTTAGAGCAGGAAAGCGCTGTCCTACGGACATAAGGAGTAGGAACGCGCCATTCTGCTTATGAAACTAAAGTGAAGCCAAGTTTTTGGCAGGGCCTTGGCACCAAGATACAGGTAAAGCATTGAATTGCCATAAGCGCCATTTTCTTGGTGCCAAAATACCTGGAAAAAAACGGCTTCATTTTCCAAATCCAGGTTACTACTCCTCTTTACCTTTACCTGCTCTAAGGCCTAAATATAATGTAAATCTCCATAAGGCATCCCAGATGCGTCATCAAGTTACCCGTTACCCGACAACCTATCAACTTTAGGAACCTTGGGCCTGGTACATATCAAAAAACGACAATTGTCATCATTGACATTAATGACATTGACTAATATAAAGTTATGAGGGTTTCATAAAAGAATTTGAAGCCAAAGCATGTCTTATTTCGCATCTATAAACCGCTGGGGTTACCATCGCTGGAACTTGCAAAGAATTTGGCCAGCATTCCAAAAAAGACCATCTACCATTTCTACGTCGAAAAGAAACGAAGCTGTAGTTGATACGGATACATGCCAAAACGAAATCGAAAAAAAAGAGGAGGTGAAAAATTGGATATCCTATGGATTCGATTCTGAAAATAGAACTGACGACAGGTCCACTATGCACAGTTTGTTGTTTGTGGGTATAACACTTTGCGGAGTTCTTGCAGGTGGTAAGTATTTCTATGACTAATCGACTGTTAGAACTTTCAATAGGGTACTTGCATGGAAAATTAAATTGATTATTGTTTATTGCAAACTGTAGGAAATCGAAAAAAAATCGTTACTTTTTTTTCATTTCGCCCAAATATGATTATTTCGGAAGTTATACAAATATTAAGTTTTGTATATATAGATATACTGAGCATGTGCGACGTCATAAAGTATTATACCTGATGACGTCATAGGCATATTTCATAGCGTTGTATCTCCGTCAATTTTTGACTAAGAAGAAAAAGAAAAAACACGTGTTGACTTATTTTTCATGGACTATCGAAATCAGCAATAAAAAAATTTGATGCAAGGGGCCTATTGTGGTTTGTGCCACTCGCCTGCGGCTCGGGACACTAAATTAACTTTCCCACGCGTGTTAAAATAAGTGCTATTTTCAACACTTTTTGCACAATATAGGTATAGTGAAATTATTTAAATAGTGTATGCACGTGATCAATGACGTCGAAATTATTGCCAATTGCAGTTTGTAGGAAATTGAAATTCGTTTCAAGCTGAGAGCTCATTCTCTTTTTTATTTAACGTTAGTTAAAAAAAGACAGAACACTGTTGGCATTTAACCGAATCGGCCGATAAAATGACATAATTTAGCGTTAAATTCACTAAAGATAAAACGTCCAAATAAGAAGCGGGTACGAATCAAAGTCAAGATCACCTTGATGTTAGCTCTATTCGCAATCAAATTTACGACGAAAAGTGAGTAGTTTTTTTAGATTGTGTTCATAATACACTATCTATACATATAAAAATCGATGTTTAGTTGCTTTAGTGATAACAAATTTTACTAGACATGGTATGTCAAAATAAAACGAAAGTTACTAGCGGCAACATTGCAACATGCTTATGTCATTGATTTTGATCACGTGCATACACTGTTTAATTAATTTCACTATACCTATACTATTTATTTGCTCGACTTTCGTGGAAAAAGTCGTTTTTAAAACTTGTTTGAATAACTATTCTTCACTCACAGGATTCATATGGTCTTATGCTCCAGACTACCATCTAAGGGATTGGTCTACGCGGGAAGGCTTTTTGGAACTCAAAAGACGAGAGGCAGCTGGACAACTACCTATTGATCCAAATTTTATACCCCCAGAAAAGATTATTTTGCCTTCCGATCAGGAATTGGGAGACACTGAAATTATTATTTAGTTAAATATTTTGAAATTGTTCGTGATAATTGATGTGTAGAAAAATAAATTGAAATTCAGATTTGTTCTATATCTTAAAAATAACGTATACGTACCTACTTAAATACAACAAAAATTAAACATCATAAGGCACAAAATACAGGGGCGGATGAACCAAAGGGGCACATTCCAAACAAGAAAAATTGCGTTGTATGAAAAAAGTATACAATAATTTTTCAAATAATATTGGCAGCCTAGGGGATTCGAAGTTCACATTTTTTATTTTTCAATAAATTTAAAAATAGGGGCCTGGTATCCTGGGTGTTGACTCGAGTTGAAACACACTATAGAAAAATATTTCCTATGGCGGTAATTGATAATTCACTTGTGGTAATATGTTGTATACATATATATGCTTTTCACTTATTATTGGCGTAGCATTATCCATGGAAATTTGACAGTTTGACCCTCGTATAATATGTAATGACATTTGATGACAAAATATTTTTCAAATTACAGGGTTATGAAACAGAAAGCCGAGTTGCCAGAATGTGTAAAATATCTGAGTAAATTCAAATAGTAAAATTATTCAATTAGGGAATCCAAACCACGTGACTTTTGCCAACCAGCCGGCATTTTGAAATTTTTATGAGGTTAGAACAAGAATCGTAAAATCTACAGGATTGCTCAATCCCATAAGACCAATGTTCATAAAAACATCGAAGATGGCGGTATGCGAATGACGTCACACAGTCCTTGATCGGTTTGTGTTTTATTATGACAGTGCACTATCCTTGCATTTTCAAACCTGAAACATTATTATTTTGAGGTTATTCCTTTTGAAAAGTGATTTTTTAATTAATTATTAATTTTAAAATTAGCAGATTTCAAAAGTTTGTGTGCTTGAGGCTTCAGTGGTTGGCTAATTAGGAAGACGAGTTTGTTTGCTTCTGATTATCAGCAAGGTAATTTCAAAATACCCACATAAATATTAATAATAAAATGTGCATGAATTTCTTTCACCCTTTTTTGCCTTTTTTAGTGCAACATTTATAAAATAGATATGCCTGGAATGATCAAAAGGCAAGCACTCAAAAATGTAAATTCCATCGCTTTCCGAAAGGAAAAGACCTTGTATCTAAAACTATTCAGAATGAGTCGATAGTTTTTTGTAAAAGAAAAGACAAACTTAATGCAGATACAAGCTACGTCTGCTCAGTTCATTTTACTGAAAATGATTATGAAAGAGACTTGCAAAATGAGTTATTAGGTACCTAATTATTGTAGTTTCTAATGTTTTGTGTTCGGTTTTTCCTTCTTGAAGTAACATCGAGAGTAACATCATAAAAAATCCACATAATAGTTATTTATGATATAAGTGTTAAAAGTACATTTTTAAGGCACGCATGTGAAAGTTTGCAGAATGAGCGAAGCGAATTCTGCAATTCACATAAGTGCCTTAAAAATACTTTTAACACAAATATCATACAATATTTTTTCTACAAACCGTAATAAAAAGCAATAACCAGTAACAAATTGGATTTTTAAATGAATAATAAATTGGAAGCATCTTTCCTACATAAAATTCTCGAATTTGACAATTGTCAAAAAATCCATACAACCAGCACCTTGTTTTACAGGTAACGAAATGTCTTTTCAGTTTCTTGAAAGTCTGTCGTGGTCAGGAATGCTTTTTGCTAAAAATGCAACAAAATACAGAAGAAAAAGAGGGTTGCATCGATCCTTCGAAAAATATAGATGAGGCGGCCAATCGGGCTACCTCAGTTGTTCAAATTTCACCATTAATATCAATGTAAATAACTGAAAATACAAACTTTTTTTGACGTCCGCTCTCAAAATTTGATGTTTCACTTTTAACACTAGTGCTATAAAGACTTTATGGCACTAGTGCGATAAAGTAACATTTTTAATGCTTCGGGGCGGTGTTAAAAATTGCATTTTTAACACGTTTGTAGAAAATAGTTATTTTCCTAACAAGTGCGCAAAGTGTTACTTTTCCGCACGCAAACACAGTTATACGAACGACGCGCAGCGGAGTTCGGATGAGTGTTTGCGTGCGGAAAAGAAACTTTGCGCGCGTGTTAGGAACAAAATTTTTCCTACGAGCCTCATATCAGGTAGGTAACAACAAAAATTTAAAAAAAAAACGATAATTTGTTCAATTATTTTCAATTAACCTGAAGCGAAACTATTCATTTATCAAAAAATTACATAACAAAAAAACAGGAAATTGAAATCCTCGTCAGAGCTGTTCATCTTAAAGCGTTTAAATTTGATGCGAAAGAAGTTTGTAGATTCTTACATGTAAATTGAGAACACAAATCTGACAATGTGTCAAAGCTTATTATATTCAGTGTTTGTATAGATGTTGGCTGATACCTATAGAAACAGAGGAAAAATTTGTCATCATGTGTCAAAGTCGACAGGTGCTTGACAATTATTTTTACTTTTCGGCACTCAGTGCGGATAAGGCCCGTATCCGCACTGAGTGCGGAAAAGTGTAACTTTGAGAACGATAATGCGTGCGGAAAAGTACTACTTTGCGCACGCTCGTAGGAAATAGTTATTTTCCTAACAAGTGCGCAAAGTGTTACTTTTCCGCACGCAAACACAGTTATACGAACGACGCGAAGCGGAGTTCGGATACGTGTTTGCGTGCGGAAAAGACACTTTGCGCACGTGTTAGGAACAAAATTTTTCCTACGAGCTTCATATCAGGTAGGTAACAACAAAAATTAAAAAAAAAAACGATAATTTCTTTAATTATTTTTAATTAACTTGAAGGGAACCTATGCATTTATCAAAAAATTACATAACAAAAAAAAAATATAACAGAAAATCATCGTCAGAGCTCTTCATCTTAAAGCGTTTAATGGCGATTTCCATTTGTCATCAGTGCCGCACTGAGTGCATCCGCAACTTTTTCTAAAAGCATGTAACATGTAAGGATAAGGATACATTTTTTTGCCCTGTTTCGACAAATGGAAAATGCTATAAATTTGATGAGAAAGTTTGTAGATACTTGCATATAAATAGAAAACAAATCTGACAATGTGTTGAAGTTAATTAAATTTGGTGTTTGTAGGTATAGATGTTAGCTGGTACAGGAACAGAGGAAAAATTTGTCATCATGTGTCAGAGTCGACAGGTGTACTTATTGTTGCTTGACAATTATTTTTACTTTTCGGCACTCAGTGCGGATAAGGCCTGTATCCGCACTGAGTGCGGAAAAGTGCAACTTTGAGAACCGAAATGCGTGCGGAAAAGTACTACTTTGCGCACGCTCGTAGGAAAAATATTTTAAATTTTAGGTCTACCTTTAAAAAAGATTTTAAAAAAGACTGCAGTTCCTACATTATTATTATTCAACGAAAAGCCATTAACAGAAGTAGCATCATCTAGATTTGAAAAGCTTCACGAAAAAAATGCTACGCAGGAAGTTCAGCAGATAGTGTCTGAGCTTCTAACAAAAGCATCAAATAGCGGTAGCGAAATTCCTGAGAAAAATCCATCTCCAGAACCCCAAGAAATAAATTACAAAGCTAAGTATTTGGATTTGTTAGATAATTTTAAAAACCTAAAAAAGAAATATTCTTTGCTAAAAGCTAATTATAATAAAACTAAAGCTTCGTATAATAAAACGATTAAAAAAAATAAAATTTGTTATGACCAATTAAGATATATAAAAACTAAGCGCTATAAATCCCCTAAGTCTAAAGTAACTGAAACAGCTTCTATGAATTTATTGAAAACTGTACTTACTCAAAATCAAATCAATTTAGTGTCAAACAAAAAGAAACGGGTAAATTGGACTCGAGACGAAATAGCTATAGCATTTACATTAAGATATTACAGTAAAAAATGCTACATTTATTTAAGAAGCAAATTGAATTACCCACTACCAGCTCTCTCTTCCTTAAGAAGATGGGCTTCGGAACTCAATTTAACTCAAGGAAAATGATCAGATGTTTTGCTTATGTTAAAGCTGGCTGGTGAATCATTTTCCACCTTTAAAAAAACTGTTGTTCTACAGTACGATGAGGTGAAAATCAAAACTGTGGAAGAGTATAATGTTGCTCAGGATGAAATATTAGGGCCTTATAACTATATGCAAGTTGTGATGGCTCGAGGCCTATTTTCAAACTGGAAACAGTCTATTTTTTATTGCTTTTGACCAAAAAATAACAAAGGAAATCTTGTTTGACATTATTACTGAACTTCATAAAATCTCATACAATGTGGTGGCCTGTGTAAGTGATTGTGGTGCTAGTAATGTGGGACTATGGAAGGTATTAGGTATCGATGTAAGCTCAGATGTAATTAACACTTCATTTAAACATCCTATTTCCAATAATAACATTTATATGTTTGCTGATGTTCCACATTTATTAAAATTATTACGAAACTGGCTTTTAGATAAGGGGTTCAAGCTAAAGGATAATTCCATTTTAAATAAAAATCCTCTTCAGGCTCTGGTTTCCTTAACTGATAGTGAGGTCAATCCCTGTTAGAAAATAAATCAGAAACATTTAGATGTTGAGAAAACAAATCGTCAAAAGGTTCAACTTGCTGCGCAACTTCTTTCTAATAATGTTTCTACTGCTCTTTTGCATTATAAACCTGGAGAAGATAAGAAAATGGCAGAAAATTTGGGAAACTTTATAAGTGATATAAATTTATGGTTTGATATTTTCAATAGTTACATTCCAAGAGGAAGTGCCCCATCAAAAAATGCTTATGGAATAGATTGGAAAAATCAAAATGACCATTTAAAAAAAATGTATGATTTAATTTTTAATATGAGAGTTGTTGGAAAAAATACCCTAATGACTTTTCAAAAAGGCATGTTATTGTCAATTATTTCTTTAGAAAGATTGTTTGAGGATATGAAGTCCACATTAGACATAAAATATATATGTACACATAAATTAAATCAAGACAGCTGGGAGAATTTTTTTTTTCAAATAAGAAGCAGAGGAGGTCCAGATGAACACCCGACGCCGCTTGGGGCCATTTACAGAATCCGTATGATTTTATTAGGAAAAAATCCTGGTATTTTAACTTCTAAAGTAAATACAGAAGAGCAAGTTCTAGACGAGTATATTATT